TACAACACTGGCGTCAGCCTGGCAATGTGGAAAATTGCCCAGGTATGTCTTGTACACAAAAAGCAGGACAAATCCAATTTATCCAATTAGTGTTCATCGGTCAACTCTCAATCATCAATAAAGTGATGGAAGATGTCATTAACAGTGCTATTAAGCAGCACCTGCTCAGCAATAATCTGCTCACTGATGCTCAGTTTGGATTCCACCATTTAGCTCCTGACCTTTTTCCACCCTTGGTTCAACCATGATCAAAAGTGCTGAATTCCAGAGTTGAAGTAAGAGTGACTGCCCTTCACATCAAGGCCATATTTTACCGAGCATGGCATCAAGGAACCTGAGCAAAATTGGAGTCAGTGGGAGTTGGGGGGTCGGGGGGAGAAGCTCTCCACTGGTTGGAGTCATACCCTTGTACATTGCAAGACAGTTGTGGTTGTTGGGGATCATTTATCTCAGCTCCAGGAATTCTCTGCAGGAGTTACTCAGGGGAGTTTCCTAGGCCCAAATATGGCCCATCTATGTCAACAATGACTTTCCCATCATCATAAGGTCAGAGTGGGGATGTGCATCAATGACTGCACAATCTTCACCATTCGCAGCTCCTCAGGTACTGTAGCAGTACATATTTAAATGTAACAAGACCTGAATAATATTCAGGGTTGGGCTGAAAAATGGCAAGTAATATAAATGCGACATAATGCCAGGCTATGACATCTCTAATAACAATATAACCATCACCACTTGACATTCAACACGTTACAAAGTCCCACACTATCAACATCCTGGGGGGTTACCATTGACCAGAAACTGAATTGGACTCACCATGTAAATATAGCAGCTACAAAAGCAGGTCAGAGACTAGAAAAACTGCAGCATATACCTCACCTCCTGACTCCCAAAACCAGTCCATCAACTACAAAGCATAAGCCAGGGGTGTGATGGAATATTCTTCACTTGTCTGGATTAATGTAGCTCTAACAGCACTCAAGAAGATTGCCATTTATCCAGGACAAAGCAGCTATCTTGTTAGGCATCACATTCACAAACCTTCATTCCCTCCACCACTGATGCTTAGTAGTAGAAATTCACCGGAGATCCTGAGACAGCACCTTTCAAACCTACAACTATTTCTATCTAGGAAGACAAGGGCAGCAAATTCGCTCCCCTTCAAGCCATTCACCATCCCTGACTTGGAAGTCTATTATCGTTCCTTCACTGTCTCTGCATTCAACCTTCTCTTCCTTTAAATAAAACAAACAACCAAAATTTCTTAATAAATTCAATTAAACACCTCCATATTAAGTACAATGCATCACATCATGAGACAGCCCTCATCAAGGACACCGAACAATGGTCTTTGTGCATGCATTTTCTGTATAAAATAATTGGGCGATTGATGACGTGTGTCCAATCCTTTAGATTTAATAATTTATTTCTACCTATGATTTATTTCAAACAGCAAGATTAATTTATAACAGTTTTTCATGCAGTTTACTTCCAGAATGAACAACTGTCTACGTAACATTCAATGTATATACTATCTTCAATATGACTCTTGTTCAGAATTTCACTCAAAATTTTTAACAACTAACATCTCACATTGACTACCTTCACAAGAACCAATGTTTCAGCTACTCAAGTACTTTTGACAAACCATTTTATCTCCAGTTAAAGGGCAGTGTTTTCACCCATAAGAAATGCTTTAAAATCAGCTGCTCTAGACTTACCAATCAGGAAGGTTAGTATGTTGGGTGTTACTAATCATGATCAGTTTCATGGTTATTACACATTTCAAGAATACAGCT